CTTCATGGCACTTTTTCAATACAATACTTTTAAAAAGAATCTCTATCCAGTAATTTTAAAAAAGTTTATTTATTCGGGCCCTATATTAAAAACGTATCTTTTGGTACAAACGCAGGGTCAGTAACATAAATGTTTTACAATAACATATTCTACACATTGCTAATTATGAGACAACGACACCACCCTGCCCCCGGGCTTGTGATTTCATCTCACGACTGTCAATAAGTACTCACTCGTCTTTTGGACCATGTTTCTTAATTAAACGCAGGTTATAGTGTGTAAGTAAGACGTGCTGATATGTTGTTTTTTCTACTGCTTTCCGTTCGTGTGTATAGTTAATGTATGGTTGTGAAAGTTCTTCTTTATGAGGTTGAACTGGTTTTTCTTGTTTCTGTGAAATATTTTCTCGTGTGTGAATGATTATGTGATTGGTGTAAAGCGTTCAGAGCTTATACTAACATGGGATAGAGCGCTATATAAAGGCTATCTATTATTTTTATTAATATAATGTGTGTTTTTGAGGAAAATAGGTCAGCTTTCTAATTTTTAGGTGCATGCTGTAAATCCAGGACTACTTTTTGAAAACGTGCCGGAACCTTAGTTTACAGTAACCCTTAATAAATACGCTTGTAGGTTCTGATTGGTCATCCAACTTTTAAACCCGTATGCAACAATCTGAGAAGATTAACACAGTGATCTGATTTTATCTCGTTTTAACCGTCGTCAGGCGAAAGTGAACAAGCTATACAATCTTGCAGGCATTCATTGAACTATCTCGGCAGTGTCTTGGGTCAGATAAGGCAATGGGACGGGACTGAAGCGATAGGTTTGTCTTATTTCTTCGTAACTGTACGAGAAAACCTCCACCACCGCCACCACCACATCCACCACGACAAAAGAAACAACAAAAACAGCATCAACAACGACAACAAAAAAACAACAACAAAACAATAACGACTGAATAATAACAATAAGAGCGCTCGGTGAGCTGTTTTAACTAGACTAGCAATCAGCGTTAGTCCAGTTTTCAAAGAATTGTATTTTATATAATTCTCTTCATTTCATTTTGTTCATCAGAATAAATTTCTTTGAAGGCTAAGATCTTTAATTCCGAAAGAGGTCATATTTTTTGTTACCAAGGACATAATATTGTTGTACCAGTGTAACGTTCCTTTGTTCTTGATTCTAACAGTGCGGATAACTGAACACTTGACATAATTTTCCTGAGGTGAGTAGTCACATGTGTCAGCCTTTTCCTAGGCCCTTCTTCGGGAATTAAAATTAAAAGGTCTAAATCTATACCCTCAAAACAAAATACGCCTCTCGAAATATCTCTTCCGGCACTTCCTCTGTGGAGGACAGCTGCGCAGATTTGTTTCGTTTCTCAGTGGAATAATCACAAAGACCAAAGAAGGACAGGAACTTTTTGTCAAAAATATTTTTCTAAATTCAGGAAAGGAATAAATTTAAAAAATCGGCCCCGTCATGGGGACCTATCTATCTTTTACAGGTTCTTGCCAACTTTCAACTCTGTAGCTGTCGTAGTTTTATGGGAAAAGGGACACAGGTGTTTCCAAGTTGCCAAATATTATAATAGATGCACACACAATATATACGTAAATAATAATATTGTGTGCCATAAGTATAAACATAATTTTATTATATATCTTTGATATATATTATTATGTATTGTGTATACACAATATTATTAATGTATACACACATACACAAAAGGTCAAATACACAAAATATTATATTATAATTATACATTGTATAATTATATTGAATATATTCTAATCTATTCTGCATATTATGTCGAGGAGCCAATTGCATGGTAGGACCCAATTGCTCGGCAAAATTTCTTGTGCCATCCAATTTCGTACCAAATCGTTCACCGCTCATACCCCGAAAGCGCTAAGAGATGTTTCTTTGCTATAAATAGTCAACGTCATGCCAGTAACTGTGTGTCTCAGGTCTCCTTCTTCGCACACCGTGCATTAGTAAGTAAAGTAAAGTTGTTCCCGCATCCGATCCGGACATTGGGGATTGCCTTGTTAGTGAGACAACTTCCTGGGCCTTTGACATAGGTAGGGTGGCCAATTCCTTTCCACGCCACCTTCACTCCCCCTACTCGAAGTCAGGTACCCATTACTGCTGGGCGAGCAGATGGGGATGGAAAAAAAATCCATGTCCCAACCGAGGCTCGAACCCTGACTTTTCACTTCGGAGTCGAGCGCAATTATTAAGTACCGTAAACTATAACTGAAAACATAAACGTTTGAACTTTGCAGTGGAAATAAAAATTTGCAGAAAAAGGTTAACTGCAATTCAATAAAACTAAAACAACAAAATGATATAATAGAGCATTCGAAGTGAAGTAAATAGGGTTTTTTTTTGGACAAAAGACAAAGGAGGAAATTTTGATTTTGAAAAAGAAAATCAAGTCCAGGCGTGATTCTCACAAAACAGTCTGATCTGGACCTTTCAACTCTTGCCTTGCTGTGAACAATGTTTGAGCAATGGATGTTGAAATGTGTTATCTAAGACAACGTGTGTTGTCGAAGTCATGTTGAACCTTAAAAGCTCTTCCTCTGACAGGGTCTGCTGATGTGGACGGAATGTGCCCTATCTCAATTGGCCGTGCAGAATAGCTGCTGTCCCGCTTACATACACATTACAGAGAGAGAGAGAGAGAGAGAGAGAGAGAGAGAGAGAGAGAGAGAGAGAGAGAGAGAGAGAGAGAGAGAGAGAGAGAGAGAGAGAGAGAGAGAGAGAGAGAGAGCGAGAGAGAGAGAGAGAGAGAGAGCGAGAGAGAGAGAGAGAGAGAGAGAGAGAGAGAGAGAGAGCGAGAGAGAGGGAGAGACAGAGAGAGAGACAGAGAGAGACAGAGACAGGTAAAGGAGAGACAGATAGACATATAGATAGACAGAGATAGATATATAGAGATAGATAGCTATGTAGATAGATAGATAGATAGGTAGATAGATAGATAGATAGATAGTTAAATAGGTAGGGAGAGAGACAGAGAGAGAGAGAGAGAGAGAGAGAGAGAGAGAGAGAGAGAGAGAGAGAGAGAGAGAGAGAGGGAGAGAGAGAGAGAGAGAGAGAGAGAGAGAGAGAGAGAGAGAGAGAGATGTGTTAAAACGATATTCTACAGTTTCTCAAACACATAATCTTCAGCTGATGTGGAAAAAGAAGTTGAGAACTGTTCAACAGGGTAATTTGCTAAATACTTGTGCGCTGAATCGCTGCCTGACATTGATACATCTCATTAGTCTGCTTTGTTTACTGATTCACTGAAGTCACGTCCACGATCTCGTTTCTCTCAGCGTTTTTCCTGCAGGATTATTAATGTTCTTCAACTCTTTTCTGAGATTCTGCAAGAAGTATTTGGACCACAATAACTACAGTGGTCCAAGAAAAATTTGTAGAAACTCAGAAAAGACGGGATTATTCCAAAGGAAACTTCTGACTCTTTGTGGATGGTTACTGAGTGCTCTGGTATGGTTTGCCGCTTCTTTTCTATCAAACATCCATTGTCCTTATCTCTCCTCCTTTTCATTGCATGCTACTCCCATGTAACACACTCTAATCTTCTGCACTTATATGACCCTTTTGTGTTGCAAGTACCGAGAGGGCATCATTATTTATGGAGTATTTCATTCTCTATCCTGGGAAGTTGTAGCCTTCTCAGCGAGGGTCGGCTTTGACAGGCTGAGTCGGAAGCCCGCCCCTTAAATTATCTAAATGTGACAACGTGGGTGTGAAAATACCTACATTTTACATAAACCAATCAGGAGTACATCTGTGATCTACATTGTATTAGAATTCAATTAGACATCGTTCTGAACTTTTTAACCTCAAATTTTGCCGATACCTCCAAAAGTATAATTCACCCGTTTTGACAAGCAAGTGTAACCCCACATCATCCTCCCTTTTGAATGGAAATAATGTTTCTGAGCGGGATAAAAGTAATGATAACAGTATCTGTTGAAACTGTTTCAAATGGTTTATTTTAAGCAGCAAGTACAGCTAAGTGCATTAGCTTAACATTTTGGTACCATAGAATTACAAAGTTCTTTTTGACATTTTCGGCCGATCAAAAACCAAACGTTCTATCTACTCTATCAAAGTCGTAATATTATTCGGAGACGTTTTCAAGATGTTTAAAGAACTGCATTCCAAAAATCTTGACTTGATACCAGACTCAAAAGTTTGGCCGTCAAATTTCGCAAAACCAGGTACTGTGTAGATAAAATTTTGTAATTCTGAGGTAGCGATCGATTTCTATTTCTGGATCTAGTTCCAAATGAAGAGCAAGTAAAATGGAGGAGCGACAACACAAGATGGCAGACGCTGAGAACGCCGGGGCGGTTTCCCTGGAAACCTCCAAAACTCAGGAGAAAGGATTTTGCCTTCGGATAAAGCAGCGCGAATATCGACAAAAGGTTGTGCATTCTCTTTGGATGGCCGGAGTCCACTATGTCATTGTGAGTACTTGAAATACTGTTTTACGAACAGAACAATATTTAGTCAGCACGGCAGAGATTGCTCACTGCATAAAGATTATCGTTGTCTTTTTTTTGTGAGGCAGCTTGGTGGAATCAGGCTCTCGTCAAAATAATGAAATCGAAGAAAACAGCACTTTTCTCCCTGCTTAGCAATTTCTGTCTTCTTTCCTCTCCATTTCAGTCTTCTCTATCAAGATCTCGCATTTGTTTTACTTTCATGTTTGGCTGAGTTTAATTTTAGCCCTTTTCAGTGTTCAAGTTGAAGGTAGATAACCTTACCTTATCATGATATTAGTTGTAAAGACAAGAAGGTATTTCATCGCAAAGAATGAGCTAGAATTATGCTCGCATTCTGTTCGCATGCGTCGCAACACCTTGAGTGTTAATGTGAGTGAGTGAATGAGTGAGTGTGTGAGTATGTGTGTTTGTGTGCGTGTATGTGTGTGTGTGTGTGTGTGTGTGTGTGTGTGTGAGAGAGAGAGTGTGTGAGTATGTGTGTTTGTGTGCGTGTATGTGTGTGTGTGTGTGTGTGTGTGTGTGTGTGAGAGTGTGTGTGTGTGTGTGTGTGTGTGTGTGTGTGTGTGTGTGTGTGTGTGTGTATGAGTGTCTGTGTGTCCTCGAAATAACAATTTTGTCCAATGTTAAGGGTGAAACGTTTATATTTATAGTGGAGGGAAAACCCCCCCTGCAAAAACCCCCCAAGGGAATCTGTTCCTAACTTTCATAGGGAGTAGTGGTAAGCCAAGCTGGGCCAACCTTCCTAGACCTCCAGATCATCACAGACACCGATGTGAAACAAGCTTCAGCCTTCTTCACATCGCATTCATGTGGTTTTATGACTGGAGCAGTTCTGAGCGGGTTTATCGGGAAAAAGGTAAGGCTGGCAAGCGGTGTCTTTATGAGATGTAGTTGACAAACATTCAACTTGCGGGCAAAGCATTTGAGTTCCATTCCCAGGTCAGCTGCAGGATGATGCATTGAGTATCTCTAGTCGTATGCTGATTCTGCTGTTGCCATCTGTTCTTATTAACCTCATCCGTACGTCGTGTTTTACTATCGTATCCATACGACGAGGGGAACTCTGTGCCATCACTTTCCAAAGAGGAAATTTACTCGTTACCGATCCGTACGCTTTGCATAGCAGCAGTTTGTCAAAAAGATCGTTTGAGAAACACTTAAAGTTTCAAAGAGATCTTTGCACTAGAAGTATTCTAAAAAGTGAAGAATACAACCCCAGGGGTACAAAATGACCCCCAGGGCGTTCGGGTAGGGTTACCGAGTTATGTGCCTTTAGTTGTGATATTATGCATGGCTGCAGTGCGGGCTTGTAGTGCTCCCGGTGCATTGCTTCTTAACATAAAGTTAAAATACATAATTATGTGAGGTATCCTGGTGAAATCAGGCGCTCGTCAAAATAATGAAATTGAA